CGTCTCTTCCGCAAGTCAGAGCAGAAGAGACCGTTTCCAACCCTCTGCCTCAGAGCAGAAACCGCAGTCTGTTCTTCAGTGAGCCCTCCAGGCCACACTCTCTCTGTTTCTGTCCATGCTGCTATAAACTGCAGCATCCTGGGTTGTGCGCCCCTCCGCAGCACTCCCAGTCCTGCCTCCAGATTGGGGCACGTCTCTGCCCTTTGTGCTTCTAAAACCGCCAGCCGCTCCCAGTTCACGCGCGCGCGTGCAACTCCACCGCTCGGGGTTTCCACCCCAGGGGTTGCAGTTCACCTGCGCGACCCCGGCTCACCGGGTTTCCGTCTCAGAGGCTGCAGTTCGCGTGAGCGCGACTTTCGCTCTGGGTTTCTGCCGGGGAGGGGGGGGCGCTGCAGTTCGCGTGCGCGCCGGGTTTTCCACCCCGGGGGCTGCCCTAAAGTCCTTTCCCGGCGCTACTGGTCTGTGAGTCTGTGCCCGTCCGCAGCGTGAGAGGCTGTCACTCACTGGCGGTGTAGGATCCCCATGGCCAGGCTCCCTCCTGCTGCCGTTTATCCTCCGATATCTGCCCGCAGGATCACGGCTCTCCGCTTGGTACCTCAAAACCAACTGCCTGCGATATTCTGTTTGTAGAGATCCAGATCTTCTTACATCTCAGGCTGGTTTCATGGGTGCTCAGAGAGGTCTGGTAGATATCCAGCTCAATTCCGGGACCAGTTGAAATAGGGTCACCCTACTCCTCTACCATCTTTCCCCTCTCAAAAAAAGGCATTTAAAAGGCATTGCAGCCTTTTAAAATCCAGCAAACTTACTTTATATGAGTGAGGTATCCCTTTTCTTTCACGCGGTGAAGCTCATTTTATTGCAGTGGCTATTCTATTCAGTTTCAATGTTCCTGCAGATAAAACTTGACTTTTTCTTTTCTTTTTCTATTTATGATCCCAAACAGATTAAAATATGCAGGAAAAAATCAACATTATCCATGAAAGTATTTCCTTGATTAGTATAGAAATTTACCTTCTATGTACCTAGCAATGGCTCATACATTCTTTGAAACTTATCCTTCTTTGAAACTTGTCACTTGTTTTTATTTCCAAATATTGCTAATACAATGCATTTAAGTTTATATCTTTACGTTCAACATTATTTTTTCCAAGATGGTGTTATTGTATTAAAAATATAGTTCCCATTAGTGTCAACTTCAAATTTTGTTCTGCAGTTTTTTCAGTTTATAATTTGAATCTACTATTATCACTTGAAGCATGTTATTTTTTTTAAAAGGTTAAACTTCACCCTCAATCCATTTAAATGCATTTTGAACATAAAAATGTTAGAAAGAAATGAGAGTATAATTTGAACTCAAAAGCACAGATTGTTAAATTATGTATAATTCAACAAATATTTAATTGTTCAAATTGTATACTCTGGTCATATAAGTTTTTAGAAAAGCTATAGATAAATCCTACAAGGGTTCTAACTACTAACCCAGTCCTCCACTAGATTGTGTAGTCTCCTTTTCAATTAAATCAGCATCAATATATAATCTATTAGACTGACTTTTTTTTACAGATTAATAAAACCCTTATATTTCATTATAATAGAAATAATATGTATTCTATATAGAAAACTTGAGAACTCCCCAAAGCAAAGCAACATAAAAATCATATAGAAATCACTTTCGAGAATAATCAACAATTAAATTCTTCCAGAGATAACTGTTAACATATTAATATTCATTTTTCTACTCTTTTATGAATAAACAAATAATTTTAAAATATAATTTATAACAATTTTTCTTTTAAATAGTCATCTGAAAGTTTTCATGACTATGTGATGTTCTAGCCTATGAATGTACCAAATACTGTTATTTCCCTATTGTTAGACATTTAGCTTTTTATTCCTTCCATAATCTTTTAAAGTTAGAAATGCATTTTAATTACTCAGGCTTATCCAGAATCTGCAAGAAAAGATTGGGTTCGAGAGTGGCCTGGCCAAGTTGTACTTTGTGTTTCTCAAATGTTCTGGACTTCTGAGACACAGGAAGTTATAAGTGGTGGGACAGAGGTAAAGCATTTATTATTTATTTATTTATTTATTTATTTATTTATTTATTTATTTATTTATTTATAGCGTGCACAGGGGAGGGGCAGAGGGAGAGGGAGGATCTTAAGCAGGCTCCATGCCCAGCATGGAGTCTGAAGTGGCTTGATCTCACAACCCTGAGATCATGACCTGAGCCAAAATCAAGAGTCGGATGCTTAACCAACTGAGCCATCCAGGTGCCCCAAAGCTTTTTTTTACATATACATTCTTTTCTACTGCTATGTTTCTTAGTTAGCTTATCTATTTTTTGTAAAGGCAGTCTTCCCACCAGTTTGTACACCTAGCATTAAAATTATACAATTCTTTGGAAACCTGTTCTTGTATTTTATGAAGCTTAGACAAAGTCATTCTGTTCTAGAATTCATTTCTATATTAAGATATATTATGAAGTCAGAATTGTTTTGTAAAAGAGTATATAAAATACATGTTTTAGATACTATATACCATTAGTTTAATTGCTTTTTTATTTTGTAGGCATTAAAGAAGTACTATAAGGAACTTCAGAATCAACTAAATGATATTGTAGAGCTGGTAAGGGGAAAACTGTCTAAGCAGACCAGGATTACTCTGGGAGCTTTGGTTACAATTGATGTCCATGCCAGAGATGTGGTCATGGACATGATTGATATGGGTATGTGACTCTTTCCTGTAATGTTAAAGATAAAATATTAATAGCTTCTAGAAACAAAGATTTATACTATACATCTTTTTCTCTCTCAACAGAATTTATTTTACATGATCTTTTTTATAAATTGGAAAACAAATTATTTGCTGTTATAAAAGATGATAGGATACCTATTTTTCAAATTATTTTTCCATTTCAGGATTATGTGTCTTGTTTTAATTTATTCTTTCTAGGTGTGTCCCATGATACAGATTTCCAGTGGCTTGCTCAGCTTCGATATTATTGGGAATTTGAAAATGCTCGAGTTCGTATCATTAATTGCAATGTAAAATATGCTTATGAATATCTTGGCAATTCACCTCGACTTGTCATTACACCTCTAACTGACAGATGTTACAGAACATTGGTATGCATTTAAATTATTTTAATTCATACATTAAAAATTACTTTTTGGTTTGTTGTCATATTTTCTTATCCAAATTTAACATGGCTATCCTCATTTTATTCTCTTATCTGTAATAGTTGAATAGAGCTATCCCTTCCTAATCCCAAAATCCCTTTATATGAAATTATAGTAATGAATATTTACTTCTGGATGCTTTTGTAGAATACAAGAGTGTTTGGATATTAATGCTTGAAAATCATGAGTAACTCCCATTGGGGATAATTAGAAAAAGAAGGTATTAGAGATTTAAAGAGAAAATAGGAGCTTCAGAAAATGGTATCAGTTTTTGCAGTGGGGTTCTGGGAGACATGACAGGAAGATGAGTAAAGTCCATCTGAGCCTTAGAACTCAAAGTTAGTTCTGTTGAAAAGGAGGGAGAAAGCTGAAATGTAGGGGGTGTGAAATGTGTAAGGTCTGTGCTTGTTGAGAAGCTATGGAAGATAAAGCTATGACTATAAAAAACAAACAAAAACAAAAAAACCCAAACCACCCAGAAATAAGGTTGCCAGATAAAATATGGGACTCTCAGGTAAATTTGAAATTCAGAGAAACAATGAATAATTTGTTAGTATAAGTATGTCCCAAATATTGCACAGGACATACTTATACTAATAAATTATTCATTGTTTCTCTGAAATTCAAATTTAACTGGGCATTCTGCATTTTTATTTGCTAAATCTGGCAACCCTACCTGGGAATTGAGAAGAAGCATCAAGAAACACCAATCCATCTGTGCTGAGTAAGTAAAATTAAAGTCTCCTTGAGTTCTCTAGAAGCAGAGACAAAATGGGGATTCTTGGGCAGATGATTTACTGAGGATGTCCTCAGTAAAAACCTGGAGGGAAGTGAGGAAAATAGGGGGGAAAGCTAAATAAAGATGTAATTTCAACAGAAGTATAGCCTTAGCCTGAGCTCATGGGGGAGCTTTGGAGCATGAATGGCATCATGGGGGTACCCCACTTTAAGGCAAAGGGGCCTTTTATATCCCTTTATGGTCATTGGCTATCAGTCACCCCTGGGGCTAGGGGTACGAAAATAAAGAAAGGGAAACCTCACTAAAATAGAGTTCGGAGACCAGAAGGAGAAGTTCTCAAGCTCTACTGCCGCTTGTTGTGCAAAACCAAGAGGAAAAAGCATGCACTTGACTTCCCGGACAGGAATAAGGACTTTCTTCTTGTCCAGAAAGAGCCCAGCTAATAAGAGACTATCACAACTCAGCCAATAAAAAGCTACTACACTTGGAACTCCCAGTTTCCTCCAATGGACTTCTTGTTTATAACGGCCTCTCCCATCGGGCCCTTTCCTCTATAAAAGAGCATTCCTCTCCTTTGTTCTCTAGACAACCATGGTTTTGTAGTAGCTTGCATGTTCTGAATTGCATTTGTCTGCTATTCCTGAATAAACCCATTTTTGCTGGTAAGCTAACTGACAGTTTTAAGGGTAACAGGCGTGTGAGTAAGCTTTCAGGTGTTTATGGATAAAGTAGCTCCTATTAATAAAGGGCAATTCTCAGGAGAAAAAGACAGTTCTGAGCTATTTGTAGCTGATACAGCAATTGGGGGGTTGGATGCAATGGCCAGTAAAGAGTGCCAGTGCATCTAGGATAAAATGTTTCACCAAACCTTCTACTTTCTCAGGAAGCTACCAGAGAGCAGGGACCATGTCTGTCTTGTTCTCTACTCTAGGGGTGAACAAGTACACAGTCCCTAAATATTTGTTGGGTAAATGAATCTCAAGCATCTGTGTCCTATCAGGGATCTCAGAAAAATCAGAAGCTGTGAATACTTGGGGAATCTCATAGCTTTGAGTTGTAAGATCAGAATCCCATTAAACACTTGTCTAGAACACTAGACACTGAAAAAAAAATTCTATTATCCATAATAAAGGGAACCCATTTGTAAGCATTTTGAGAGAACCTGAGGTTTCCAGCAGTCGAGTTAATAGGCATTAATAGTATAGCAATTATAAACTTAAGATGGGTAAAATATTGATACTGCCTTTAATAAACTGTTGTTTTATTTTAATAAATGTAAAATATGATTTGTTAATCAAAATGTATTTTATTAAATTATTATTTAAAAAAATTTTAATTAACATATAATGTATTATTTGTTTCAGAGGTACAGGTCTATGATTCATTAGTCTTCC